TTATTTTTATGTATTACTTACATACATTTTACTCCATTTAACATGTCACCAAATTAGATAGGACGACTTTTTTTAAGGGGGAAAATCATCGAATGGCTGTTCCCGCCTGGGTGAGGCGGGAGGGAGCGTCAGATTCTTACTGACTAAAAACCACTCCGTTCCTTCTCCTGCACGTCGAGCCGGAGCTCTGGTTACCCGTTAGGTTGCGATATAGGACGACTAGAATAACGTTCTTTTTTTAAGTGTGGAAAATCATCCAATGACTGCTCCCGCCTCGGTGAGGCGGGAGGGAGTGTCAGAGTCTTACTGACTAAAAACCACCCCGTTCCTTCTCCTGCACTTACAGCCGGAGCCCCGGTTACCCGTTAGGTTCTCCGCGACTCCGAACTAGAATAACAATAGAGTAATAAGGAAATTATAATTATGAATGAGTAGTAACAAGATACCATGACACAACCGTATAATGTTATACACAAAACATTCTTTGTGAATATTTCTATAGGGTAAGACTTCCTGTATTTACTTAATTATCTATATCAAACGAAGTTGTGTTGGTATGTGTATACAATATCCATTAAATTAAACTATCGTTGGTATTCCCTGAACGGGTTAAAATGCTTAGTATGTTACGGTGCGCTAATAAAGTGGTTTGAAAAGATGATGTGCGGTGGATATCCAGACTATTGCTTTGGACAATTTATAGGAATGACAAATCCAAATACTAGGTACAGTGGCCAGTATATCAACAATGTTTGTCATTGCATTTTTTGTATGGCGTAAGCCGTTAAACGAGCAGACGGATCACATGATGGTAAGCAATCGGCGTCGCCCATGGACACCTGAAACATCAAGGCGTTACAAGTGCGTTACCGGTCTTTAGGGAATTGGGAATTTGAGCATCGTGGAGGATTCGGGGATTGGGAATACTGTAAAGGGGGGATAATTGGGCCTCCGGTAACCTCCCAACGCAAGCGTTGTTTCACATCGGTTTTCTGTGAGGCCGTGGCATCACTCCGGTCGAGCCGGCCCATTCATGCCGAAGCTTAGCTCTCACAGACTTGATTCACACACACATTTTCGACTATACATCTAAACGATAGAGTTCAAAATGTGACAGAAAAGAGTAGATCGATCTGCTGCCCATGGTCATTCAATAATGAAAAAATGGCATCATTATCATCAATAGTACTTGATGAGCCTCTGCTGCACTTAGGGTATCCTCTACATTAGGCCACTCTACTCTCTGACCCTAACGGGTTACCGGGTCTCCAGCTCAACGTGCAGGAAAAGGAACGGGGTGGTTTTTAGTTAGTAAGAGTCTGACACTCCCTCCCGCCTCACCCAGGTGGGAGCAGTCATTGGATGATTTTCCCTCTTAATAAAGGCCACTTTACTACATTATCATTAGAAGTTTGCCTATTCTCATGTGTAATCTCTTTGACGACTCTTAAGACACTCGTGTGAAGAGTAGTCTCGTGGCCTTTAGCCAAACGCCACTTTAGCGCTTGTCTACAGAGAGTAGAAATCAAAATGTATGGGGATGACACTGACAAGTGTCAAAATTTACGTCAACTCCATATAATTTGGTTTTCTATTACATCTACTACATGTAGACAAGCGCTAAATGGCATTTGGCTACGGCTGCGTGTGACGTGAATTTTTTATCTGCTATGCTTTCATAACGTGACAAAAAATATAGTAAATGTCAACTTTATAATGTTTTTACTGTAATAAATTTTTTCTAATTTAATTATTATGTTTTCGGCTTACTCACGTAATTACATATTTGGCGAGGAACTCGACTAGTTTGAAGCCATACTAGAGGCTCGTATGTCCTCGAGTTCCTCGTCAAATGCTCACAAAAGTTATAATACATTCTTCTAATTGTTGACAAAAACACAAATCCCAAAACAATTAGTATGCATAAAACAACAAAGTCGTTAATCGCTTGACAAAGTTCAGGCCACAATTAATATAAGTGAGAATCAGTAATCAGAAGGAAGCGTTAAGACAATTTTGTGAAATTAACACCTGAAGTAGACGGGGCGACGGTTTCCACAGATTTGACTCGACGACGGAACTTGCGGACTTTCCTTACTTAAGTAGAATTGAGTAATTAATTAATGGAGAGCGAACTGTTGACGTGTTTAAATTTTGATTGGATTACTAAACAAAATTTGTGAAGGCCAAAGGTAAAAACATGCAGTGGTGTATACTGAGTTAGAGTTTTTTATAGAGAGCATCAGGTTAGTAAAAGTTCAGGTTAACATTATTACTAAATTTTGTATTATTTTTATAATAACTATCGTGAGACATACTAAATTCAATCAAGAAAAAAAAAGCTGATATAAAAATAATAATATACATTTAATTTTATTTTACGCCAATATACCTCCAAAACATCGCACATTAGACCTCCATTTATTCCACAATCCTTGACTTGACAAAAGTTCCGGTGCGCGGTCGACTTTGAAGGCGAACAGGTGTGAATTACTTTTAAAATATGGTAATCCGAGATGAACGGAGTTCAGAATTTCAAGATACTGGTGACGAATTTGTTTGGACTTTTAAATTCCGGATTATGAGGCAAAGGTGTCGAATTTTACGCTCTTAAAATCATACTTGAAAATAATTCGGATACAAGGGTTTTTAAGGGATTTGCGTTAAAAACGCGTTCTTTGTGAAAGGGACACATTATTTCTATTTCTGAATATTTCATATTTCTGAATGTCTTTATAGTTGATGATTAATCCGCAAACGGTCACCGATGACCGCTCTCCACTGACTTTTTAGGGAACAGAGAGTATAGTTCCCTAAGATCGGAAAAGGAGGATCCTCCGACCAGGCGAGGTGATCGTGCCTGGCGGGCTTTCTGCCCAACAGTTGTTCGTTGGGATTTTCTATCCGTATTAAATCCAATGTAAACTTCGCATGTGCGATGTAGGATTTTTATGACGTCATCCGTTAGAATGTACCATGTGTCGCCACATCACTCCCTTCCAAGACCAGAGGTCGATTCCGCTGAGACGGCTGTCGATGCTTGAGATGTGCGGTGCCAGAGCCAGTGTAGAAAGTCCCTAGTTCCAGTGAGTCGGAACTGTGCCGCTGAGTGCCCAGTGAGTTGGGTGAGCGGTGCAGGGCGATACTCCAGTGAGTCGGAGAGATGAGTTCGCAGTGTCCCACGGTGAGTCGGGGAAGAGATGCTGCGAGGGTAGGTGCGTAGTGGCTGGCGTCTGCGTTGACGGGAGGAGATTTCCTTCAGAACCGTGTGCAGAAGTGCTGTGCCTAGACGCTGGTGAGGCCGTAGGGAAGAACCAGGCTGCACAACTTCGTTGCAGGCGATGGTGGTCCCTGATGAGGCTGAGGATGCTGGTTGGCTGCGACTTGATTACCGCTCAGCGGAGAAATGATGAATGAGAGGGATGGCGATACGGATGACGGTGCTGATCTGCTCCGTTAAGTGAAGATTACTTCCAATCACGTCGGGGTCACCACTTTAGGGAACAGAGAGTATAGTTCCCTAAGATCGGAAAAGGAGGATCCTCCGACCAGGCGAGGTGATCGTGCCTGGCGGGCTTTCTGCCCAACAGTTGTTCGTTGGGATTTTCTATCCGTGTTAAATCCAATGTAAACTTCGCATGTGCGATGTAGGATTTTTATGACGTCATCCGTTAGAATGTACCATGTGTCGCCACAACTTCATTATAGACCTTATTTCCGATGTATAGAGACAAATTTTGGAGATTTTTTGTACGATTTATGAAGTGATTAAAAACCTTGTTTTGACGTCAGTGAAATCAAATTCAACTTAGGAAAGATAACGAATAGGAATAGGTTTTTGCTTGTCGGTTTTTATAAGGGTTCGCGAAGCTAACCTTTATCAGAACAATCATATTATATGTAGTACTATTTTTATAAAAAATAATAATAAAACCAACAATATACTACTGAGACAATGACCTGGAAAACTGAGTATGAAAGAAAACGCATAATGAATAACCTTGGACATAATTAATTCATCAATCATTGTTGCATACGATCATCTTACTTATACATTATCACGCAAATATTAATGGTTGGTTACCTCTGTGTGCCTTATGAGTATTTTTTATTTTTTATTAAGACGCACAGTAAACGCGTACATTGTAAAGTCTGACCACAGATTGCAATTACAATGTAATAAATTGTTGTTTATTTTTAAATAACATACCATCACATAACATCACGCTTTTAATCCCTGAACACAGGCAAAGGCGCACATTACGGCACTTAATGCCACTATACAATGTAACACCCACTTTTCACTATTTATGTTATGAGTCTCATGTAATAGGGGGTGAGCCTATTGCCATAATTATATACCGGGCACATTTCCAAACTCCATGCTACTATTGAGATTTTTTTTATAACCCAGCAGTACTTTGCCCCAGAAATCGAACCCGATACCCGAGAAATCGCCAAGCAGTCGCACTTGCGACCACTCGGCCAATGAGGCCAAACTGACGTCATATAAATATGGTATGGGATCTGCAAACTGGCCACTATCGGGATGCTTGCTACCTAATACCTTCATAAGTAATAGGTTTTATGGAATTATCTTACTGATTACATCTTCTCGGATAACAAGCTACAATTTGTTATCGTATTTTAACGGTAATTGCATGTGTTAGGTGTGTGTATTGCTGGCAAATACTGTGGCATAAGTAATTATGAAAATTAACTACATTTTAAATTCAAATGTACAAAAAGTTGTCTTTAACTGCCAATAGAAAACTGTTCAAGGCAAATCCTCCGCTAACTTCACTGGTAACTGTGACTGAAGTTAGCGAGGGCATGAGGGCTACTCCAAGACGTTCAACGCGTCTAGCTTGCCCTTAAACTATTTAAGTTGTTATAAGGTACATTATTTTACTTCCAGAACCACTAACAAATGATTTATTTGATCATAATCATATAGCAATTAAAGCTAATGTTGAATATTTAAACATTTACGCAAATTTACCAAGCTATAAAGTTTTAGTTGATTAATTGACTATTGACGTGCGTTGAGGGGGTGTAGATGAAAAAGATGAGGATTTTATTTCTTCTCCTACTTGTCAAAATCTGTATTTCTGCTGACGACGGTCAGACTGATAACTTTTGGAGCAAAATCATCAATGATGGTAGTAGTCATGGTGAGTACATACTTTTAAACCACAAAGTAATAACATCTATACCTCTACCCATATCAATAAAATTGGAATGTATGTGTGTGATATTGAAAAAACCGTTTTAATTTATAAGCATGTATTTAAATGCTTATGAAATTACATACGATACACAAATACCAAAACATTTTTTTTGGTTATTCTGACTGATGTCCGAAATGGGTAGACCGATTTTGACGGGACTTTTATTGGAATATAGCTGAGGTAAAAAGAAGTAACTTGGGCTACTTTTCCCACTTGGACGAAGTCGCTAGTTAGTAAAAATTAATTGAAACTATTTTATTATCAATCCTAAATGTTCTTGAGTATAAGCAGAATATCCATAATCTTTACCAAAATATGAAACTACATAGATCCTGTTAAAAAAATGTAATCTATTGTTCCATTGGGGAATTTACTACAAGTACTCTTGCTCAGCAGCCACCTTTGCAACTAATAAATTATATTGTGTTCAAAGATGAAGAAGCAATTATGCATCTCTCTCTTTGTCATTATCTTATAATATTATCCAATTAAAAATAAACTATATAAGAATGACTTCATTTTCCGTTTATTCATCTTTGTTCTTTGTTTCTTTTAGTTTCAGATGAAGAACATATAGTGCGTCCATGTGCTCTGCACGATCTCAAATGCATCCAGCGGTATTTCGTTCAAAATTCTCAATGCGAACTGCCAAGTGGACCTACTCCAGACTCCTATAGGCTCAAAAGGGTACCCATGTACTTACCTCACGTCAATGTCACCTTCATTCTGACTGATGCGGACATCAAGGGATTCAAGGACTATAAAATTGTTGATTTCTAGTGAGTGTCTAATTTTAGAAGTTATACTGGCTATGCTTAGTTTATGTGCACACAGGTGCGTTTTGAAAAATTGCAGATACTGATTTTACTTCCAAAAGGGTAGGCAGAGGTGCACATTACGGCACTTAAAGCCACCGTACAATGTAACACCCATTTTTCACTATTTATGTTGAGAGCCCCATGTAATAGGGGGTGAGCCTATTGTCATATACTGGGCACATTTCCAGACTCCGTGCTTTTTTTGAGGGGGCAAATCATCCAATGACTACTCCCGCCTAGGTGAGGCGAGAGGGAGTGTTGACACTTACTGACTAAAAACGACCCCTTTCCTACTTCTGCACTTTGAGCTGGAGCCCTGGCAACCTGTTAAGCCCTTCGTGGCAGACTCCGTGCTACCACTGAGAATTTCTTAAAAAACACAGTAATACTTTGCCCGACCCGGGAATCGAACCCAAGACCCCGGCAGTCGCACTTGCGACAACTCGGCCAACAAGACAGTCAATACTGATTTTAGCACCTACATATTCTTGTTAGCTATTTCTTAATATCGTGGCAAATAACTTTTTATTGAGAGGGAAATTCATCCAAGAAAGGAATCCTTGGAAGAGGCGAGAGAAAGTGTAAGACTATATACCACCCCGTCACTGTGCTCTTAGAGCTGCTGCGTCAAATATTCACGAGATCATTTTGAACACTTTTCAGTATTAACTATAATCACGGGTTACTCACGTGATGACACTGAGAAAAGCTCTACTAGTTTCGAACCTCAGAGGAGTTCTTCCTCATGAGCAGTGTGCGCGGTCGCGGCGCTACAGCTAGAGCATTTCTCAGTATATTCACGTGAGTAACCCACGATTTTAGTTAATATAGTATGTCTCACGATAGTTATTATTAACTCGTCGAGTACCGGTTTTGCAGACACAATTATAGAATAATAGGTTGCGGTCACCGGTGACCGCTTGGTGTTTGACAGTTTAAAACGTAGCAAACTTTTTAGTATCTTCTTACACATTTATCGTACATGTTTCAGTGTAAACAAAAAGACGGATACTGTTCTATTTGAGGTGGAACTCCACAAAATATGGGTGTATTCTCCAAGAACAATCATCACCTACCACAGGAAGGGGAAGGAGCCGTTGGATTTAGTTGATTATGCGTACATAGAATACTGTTAGTATTATAATATTATATTTACTTTTAACTTAAATTAGTGAAGGGTATTTTAGGCTCTTACTGATATGTTATTGTTTCTTAAAATAATTTGGCTGTAAATAATTGTTTCCACTTTTATTGTGGACATGTGTGTGTGTGTGGAATTAGCTGTTATTCTTGAGTATGTACTGATTTTCTTGACGAATTTTTCGATGTTTTTTATTGTTTATAGTCATAACTGTAGTAACATATACATAGAAAGAATAACATATACGAAAGCTGGGCAGTTCTGAAATTAATATTACGTACAAACGGATCGAATTGCTAATTTCCTTTTTTTTAAGTCGCTTAAAAATATCAAATACCTACAGCACCTAATATTGATTCGGAGTTGACCGCCTTCATATAATTTGGACGTTAATCTTAACTCGTCGAGTACCGGTTTTGTAGACACAATTATAGAACAATAGGTTGCGGTCACCGGTGACCGCTTGGTGTTAGACAGTTTAATGATAAAAATAGGATTCTTCTGCATGATCAGTTGTGTAATTCTAAACAATTGTTTTTCTTTTCGTTTCAGTGAATCTATCGCTAACATTAACTGCTCCACAAATTTATAACATTGATATGTCTAATAATCATGTCTACACGTACGTAAGTGATGCCCATCCTAGAAGTGGACTGGGGCCCATTTTTACACATAATAAAGGTAATAAACAGTATTTTTTTATTGCATAAGCGTGGAAACGAGCAGTCGGATCACCTGATGGTAAGCAATCGGCGTCGCCCATGGACATCTGGGACACCAGAGGCGTTACAAGTGCGTTACCGGCCTTTTGGGGATTAGGAGTTTGAGGATTGTTGGGGATATTGGGATTGGGGAGAATGGGGAAGGGGGTGGGGGTTGATTGGGCCTCCGGTAACCTCACTCACACGACGAATAAGAACGCAAGCGTTGTTTCACGTCGGTTTTCTATGAGGTCGTGGTACGAATGGGCCGACTCCGGTCGAGTCGGCCCATTCGTGCCGAAGCATGGCTCTCCCACACTTATCTTACTATTATTTTAGATACAATGTAGTCTTCTAATTCAGGATTAGTCTAATCAGTTAAAATCTTTGTATTGAATAAGAAAACTAACGCCCGAATATTGCAAGGTTACTCAAGTTTAAGTTACTTAAATGTCATGACATCTCTGTCATTTTAGAAAGAATTTGTAGTGACAGAACTATAGGTATTCGGGTAAGTCACTGTGAATGTATAATGTCATAGAAAACAAAATTTGATTTAAGGTGACAATAGAAGAATACATAGTATCAAAGAAAAGAAGATTTGAAATAAGATGGCATTTGAAAGAATAGAATTTAGAACCAACAGAAATTGTACAAAGATATATTTTTACCAAATGGTTATTCCACCCAATGACCAGAAGATTTCTTCACTTCTTGGTATATGAGCAGTACAATGTGAATCTTATTTTCGGTAATCAAGATGCACTTTTTCATTACAGATGAATACGTGAGAAGTACGACGAAGCGTCTACTGCACAGAATCGCCTTAGGCCTTCAAGAAGCCTTTGTGACACAAGGCGAAATCTTCTTCTTCTTGTTCTTTCAAAGCAATATATGTACTTACTATAACTAGATGATATTGATAATATTTTCTCTGTTTACCGACCTGGTACCATATTTTATCGCTTCGTTTTTCAAAATGTAAATAAAGAGACTACGCTACTATGCATGAACTGAAAAATATGAATAAAAATTCGACTCTGAGTTTTATGATTGATTGTTGTTGACCCTGTTCATACTACTTTATTTATTTAAGTTTAATCTGGTGTCAGTACTATGGGTGGCTCGCCGCCTGACCAGAACCAGACCCGAGCATACGGCTCGTCGCGTTCTGCGTGCGCTTCAAAGAGCCATCAGACCACCACGGATGGGGCTCAATAGGGCTGATGTCGATACGGAGCCGCAGAGAACTTAACGGGTTACCGGGGCTCCGGCTCGAAGTGCAGGAGTAGGAACGGGGTGATTTTTAGTCAGTAAGAGTCTGACACTCCCTCCCGCCTCACTCAGGCGGGAGAAGTCATTCGATGATTTTCTAATTTTTGAGCGGGTAAAATCATGCAATTGCTTCTTCCATCCGGGTGAGGCGGGAGGGAGTGTCAGACTCTTACTGACTAAAAACCACCCCGTTCCTACTCCTGGCTTGAAGCAGGAGTTGGAACGGGGTGGTTTTTAGTCACAAACCCGTCACAACTTTCTAAAAGCGCTGCAAGTCCTGTGATCCAGAATTTTTAAGTAGACTACACTGGAACACTAAAGTTACAAGAACATGATTTAACTGTCTTGAATCCCACGACGAAACAAATCAAAATAAAATTTTTAGAGGACAAGGAAAAAACGGCAGTTTGGTTCTAGTTTTTAGCCAGTAAGAGACCTGACGCTCACAATTGCCTTGCCCAGAGCAGGATTAGTCAATTGATCGTTTTGCCGGAGTCGATAATTAGTGTTCATCTGTACGTTGAAGGTGACTATAACTATGTCGGTAGTACAATATCTGCGTTGGAACTGTACAAAATATAGCTAAGGCTATATTTAGATAATAGTTGTTAAATCACTGTTGCAAGTAATTCCTGTCAAACAGAAAATATGTCATATGTGTACTCGATACAGTTTTATAAAAGGTTACTTTTATAAAAATCTTAGATGTGTTAGCAAAATTTGCATGTCTATCACGGCAAAACATAGATAAACGATTCTGATTCTGATTCTGATTCTCAAAAATATGAAAATTAATCAAATAATAATAATAATAAGCCACTGCGCCGGCTTAGCAACTGGCTTCCGTGCAACGTGTCGCTCGTTCGATTCCCACTCGGAACAACTGTTTGTGTGATCCACAGATTATTGTTCCGTGTCTGGGTGTCATGTGTATGTGAACTTGCATGTTTGTAAACGCACCCACGACACAGGAGAAAAACCTAGGGTAAGGCAATATTTTTTTTAATGAAAATGATATTAAACTAATAAATCATGAAAATAGAGTTCTGCCAATCTTTACACGGTATAACTATACAGAAGTATGTTGTATCGGTTAATTACAATGTTAGGTTCGTACACGATAATTAATTAGCCAATTATTCAAATCATCCTGTCTGATATTAATTACCATTTTGGTGTTTATGTAATTTTCTTATTGTGGTCTTTATTAAAATAATTATTTCCGTTGTCTTAACATGCAAACTGTGAGTATTTAGCTAACGATACACGAAATTATTTAAATACATTATTCATTGTTGTTACAAAATCAGAGTGACGTGTGATAATGAGAATCGTTTTTTGTTTCTTTGTTTTATTTCATTTTTGTCGTTGTTTTCAACATGGCGGCGGGCTCAGTGCCTGGCATGGAGATTCGACTGGTAAGATTTAACCTTGTAAATATTTTTTCCAATGTATAACTAATTATTGTTTAAGTATAACATATAACATGAAATTGACGGCCAATGGGATAAAAATTCTAGACATTATTGTTTTTTTTAAACTCGTTATCGATTTTCTCCTGTATCGTGATGTTTAAGTATAACATATAACATGGAATTGATGGCCAATAGGATAAAAATTCTAGTCCGTGTTTTTTTCGCTGTCGCCGATTTTCTTCTTTTTCCTGTATCGTGGGTGCGTTTACATACAAATTCACATACACATGACACTCAGACTCGAAACAACAATCTGTGGATCACACAAAGAGTTCTTCCGTGCGGGAATGGAAACCGCAACACGTTGCACGGTAGCCGGTTCCCGAGCCACTGTCATGGTTGGTGCCGTCAAGAATCAAGAATCAAACCGGCAAACGGAAAACAGTGGACATTTTCTGACTGACAATTATGATAATGATGATGATGAAGCGTAATGCAAAATGGGAATTTCTAAACTGTATCATCAGAAAAAAAATATTTAGTACTACATAACACGCCATCCACACGTTCACATCTACCCATCTGGATGACGTTAAGAAGGGATTTTAGAAATCTTTATAATAATTTTCAGACCGCGTTTTTGGCAAGGACTTCCACCATGAACATTCCATCGTCAGGCCCTGTGCCATCCATGATGTGAGCTGCATCCGAGAGTTTTTCGCTTACAATACCCAATGTTCCATGACTGAAGGACCAGCTCCAGACCCCTTCATACCTGAGAAGATCTCCTTGAATACACCACATGCAAATCTTACTTTTACTTTGAACAATCCACGAATTAAAGGCCTTAATAATTGGAAAATTAAGGAGTTTTAGTGAGTGTTTAAACTGTCAAACATCAAGCGATCACCGGTGACCGCAACCTATTTCTTTAATTGTGTCTATAATGACGGTACTCAGCGAGTTAAGTATGAATTTAAAAATTTTATGATTTTATATTATGGGAAAACAAGCCAGGCAAGCAACGAACAACAAGGTATGCTGAAAGTGTTTGAAGGATTGGATTGAATAGTGAAATAATAAACATAGATATGATTAATATTATGAATTACAAAGATATATCTTGGCAATTCAAAAAATTACAACATCGTGACTTACGACACTTATTTTATTTTACTTTACTATAAATACCAAAATTTTTTTTAAGAATGTTTGTACTGAGATACGATTAATTCGGAAAATATGTTTAAGTAATTTGAAAACCTTCATGAAGTCTTTTAAAGGACTTCTTTTATTTCTTCCTGCCAACTTTTTCTTTGCTATTTTTCAGTATCAACAAAGCCACAGGCGTATTGGTGCTGGAAGTGAGATTTAGCAGTATAGTGGTGCATACTCCAAAATGTATAGTCACGTATTATCGCAAGGGCAAGGAGTCGTTACATACATCTGATTTCACCGAAATTGAATACAGTAAGACATAGACAATATAATGTTATCTATTTCTTTTCTTATTTAAACTGTCAAACACCAAGCGGTCACCGGTGACCGCAACCTATTGTTCTATAATTGTGTCTATAATGACGGTACTCGACGAGTTAATCTGAAGCAATTGAATAACCACGCTGTTTTTTTTACATAACGATGGTTTTTAGTTTTACTAGTCCTCTGACAACTAACATCGCACTTTTTCTTTTTCTGACAAATCTCCGAACTTTTTCTAAGTAGCGCCTTTTTAAAAACATTCATTCATGCAGCTTGGCAAGACCTTAATGATGTCAATGACAATGTATCTGTTTTGAAAAATATAGGTAGGGGAACGTCCCGTAACGTCGGACGGAACCTAACGCCGGACACTTGTATTATCTCGATAACTGATAACACGAGCGATTCAATTTCAACTAAAAATCTTAGGTGTCTGCCACAGGAAGACTTCCCCCTAAAAATTGAGTCGCTCGCGTTATTAGTTATTGAGATAATACAAGTGTCCGGCGTTAAGGGACTTTCCCCTATACGTACACGTAGTCATATAAAATGTCAGTTTAATTAAAGTACCTCTGCTTTTCCTTCAACAGAAGACCTATCTATGACCTTGACAATTCCTGACCTCAAAGACCCTCAGCTGTCAGGAGCCCATGTCTTCACATATGTACCTGACGGCAAACCAGAGTATGTGCTTGGACCTGAAATCTATAAGACTGAAGGTAAGACTTTTTATATGGAATAGGAGGCAAACGAGCAGACGGATCACCTGATGGTAAGCGATCAGCGCCGCCCATGGACACCCGCAACACCGGAGGAGTCACAGGTAAAGACTGGAGGCCCAATTATCCCTCTCTCCAATCTCTTCATTCCAATACACGAATCTCCAACAATCCTCAAATTCCTAATCCCCAAAATACCGCAATAATAATGATAAGTACCGCACTTATAACACCTCTGGTGTTTCGAGTGTCCATAGGCGGCGTCGATTGCTTACCATCAGGTGATCCGTACGCTCGTTTACTGGCTTATTCCATAAAAAAAGACTTTTTTAAGGGGAGAAAATCATCCAATAGCTTCCCCCGTCTTAGGTAAGGCGAGAGAGAATGTCAGACTCTTACTGACTAAAAACCACCCCGTCCCTACTTCTGCTTTAAACCGGAGGCCCGGTAGCCCGTTAAATTGACATTTGGGAGTGACATTATTTTTTTTTTACTTAGTCAAAATGTAATATTGTATAACCTTCTATTTGTTACGTATCTGAGAAAAAATATATTATGTTTTTTTGGCTGCCTCGTTGGCCGAGTGGTCGCAAGTGTGACTGCACAGGTCTCGGGTTCGATTCCCGGGTCGGGCAAAGTATTACTGGGTTTTTAAAAATCTCAGTAGTAGCACGGAGTCTGGAAATGTGCCCGGTATATGGCATTTTTTTTTTTTTTTTTTTAAGGGGGGAAAATCATCGAATGACTGCCCCCGCCTGGGTGAGGCGGGAGGGAGTGTCAGACTCTTACTGACTAAAAACCACCCCGTTCCTTCTCCTGCACGTCGAGCCGGAGCCCCGGTTACCCGTTAGGTTCTCCGCGACTCCGAATCGGCATCGGCCCTATTGGGCCCCATCTGTGGTGGTCTGATGGCTCTTTGAGGCGCGCGCGGAACGCGACGCGCCGTACGCTCGGGTCTGTTTCTGGTCGGACGGGGAGCCACCCATGCTCGCCGTCCGCAGGCCCGCGCTTACGGTGGCCGGAGATCGTCCCGCGATCCCCGACGCCCGGTGTGTCCTTCGCGATGGCTGGGTTGCGAGGAGGCAGCGCTTCGCTGCCTCACGCGTCCCGCCTCCTCCTTAGCTAGCATGACTGCTTCGCAAAAGGAGGAGACGGCATCCCAATCCCCCTCGCTCCGCATCATGGCCTGCACTAGGCCCGGACGCGAGAGGTCGCCATCGCCGATCACTTCCCTGAGGACACGGCGGTGCTCAGCCCACGAAGGGCATTCTCCCACCGTGTGTTCCACCGTGTCCTCAGGGCGGTCCTCGCAGTGATGACACCCGGGCGTTTCCTCCCGCCCCATCAGACACAGGTACCTCCCGAAACTTCCATGTCCGGTGAGGACCTGCGTCAGGCGGTAGGTGAGGACGCCGTAGCGTCTCTCAAGCCACTCCTCAAAGAGGGGACTTACCGCTGCGATGGCAGCGAGCCCAGCCCTCGGTTGCGACAGTCGTTGCTGCCATTCCGCCATGAGATCGCGCCGGAGCTCATCCCGCCACGCACTTATCTGGCGCGGCAGCGGAGTTTCGCCCCGGCGACGTGCCTCCGCGCGCATGCTGTGCACGCGCGCGAGCACCTTCGCCTCCAGATCCCACGGCGGTAATCCGGCAAGGAGGTTCGCCGACTCCCCAGAGATCGTGCGGTATCCGTGGATCATTCGGATCGCCATGACCCTCTGTGCCATGAGCAGCGTCCGAGCGGGACGCCGCAGCAGGTTAGGCGCCCAAACAGGGGCGCCGTAGAGGGCCATGGACCGCACGACCCCGGCGTATAACCTCCGGCAGGAGGCGTTTGGCCCCCCGAGGTATATGGCAATAGGCTCACCCCCTATTACATGGGATTCTGAACATAAATAGTGAAAAGTGGGTGTTACATTGTACAGTGGCATTAAAGTGCCGTAATGTGCACCTCTGCCTACCCCTTCGGGATAAAAGGCGTGATGTTATATTATTATGTTATGTTGTTTTTTTTTCAGATCCGGGATTTCAGAAGGCGCTCATTGATGTAGAATCTAAAGTGGACACAAGTCTTGTGGAACTCTTCGTTACACAGGGTCCCATACTGTTTTCCAAGTTCTTCCAAAGTAGTATTTGTGAATTTGCTCACTAATGATAAAACGTTATCTAGAATATTCTTTATCAATTAAACTTGGAATATATTATAATAATGGTTTACTGAATTTATAATTGCGTAGTATTATTTTAATTTTTAACTTTTTTTTAATCAATTGTATGGTCTCTATTTATATGTGTTTGTCTTCTTCACATGCTAATAAACCGGATGCATTCAGAGCTATTATTTTTCATGACCCATAAAGTTATTTTTTTTTGTATTCTTTATTTCTCAAGCTTGAGGGTGTGGGTTCTATACCTACCAACAGTAAGTACCATTATACGAGTTATATGTACTCTCTGGGATTATTTAGACATCACTGAAAGAAAACATCGTGAGGACACCTGGACTTATAATTTCTTATTATAAGTTTGAAACCGCTAATCCGCATTGAGCAAGTGTGGTGATTAATGTTGAAACCTTCTCGTGCGAAAAGAGGCCTTAGGTCAGCAGTGGGCATTTATAGGCTGGTGATGTTAATTCTTACCTATACATTTTCTTTTAACCATCTCCTAAAAAGATCTGTTTCAATAAAACAGCATTCAGACCGAATTTTTTTTACCTAGGTTTTTACTAAACCTAGTCTACCTACAAGGCACGTTTCAGTGAATAAAGGAACAAGATGTGAGCATTGTTAGTACCCACCACAGGGGAATGGGATGATAATATTACACGGCTACCCTAGGGCCAAACGACCAATTTATTATTTACTAGACAAGAGTAACACGGATAGCCTTCTGGATTGTTCCTTTATTTATTTAACGAATGGTTTTTAGACGCCACTTGCAAGATTACTGTTGAATTTGCTGGAGATAATGTTTGAAAGTGAGCTTGGACTTGATTTCTTTAGCTTCACTATGTATGTACCTAAAGTAATATAAAGTCATGTGATCTTTTTATAATAACTATCGTGAGACATGCTGAATTAACCTAAAAATTACGAGTTGCTCACGTGAGAAAAGCTCTACAAGTTTCGAGTCACAGAGGGACTGTAGGAAAATTACGATGGCCATCGACCATAGAGGCGGCGACGGCCGTGACAGGGGTATAAAAACCCACGGCCGCGCGAGTCCGCGCTTCTTCTTCTACACACTCGTTTCACCAACGCCATAGTTTTCGGGTATTTCTTTGTGTGTGCGTAAAGCGCCACCGGTCTTGATTGTGATTCGTGGAATAAACATAAGTTTATTCCAATCAAAATAACCCGACAGAGACTTCCTGGCTCGGCGATGTCGCGGTCGCAACCGCGCACGTTGCTCATGAGGAAGGCTCCCTCTGTTACTCGAAACTGGTAGAGCTTTTCCCAGTATATTTACGTGAGTAACTCGTAATTTTTGGTTAATTAAGTCAAGTGAAGTCCAATAAAATTTCTGGAGGTGTAAGAAATGCAAGTGTATACATGGAATGTAAAAGCAAATGTAATGAATGTCACAATTTCAATACTCTAAGTTGGTTATTTAATTATTTAATGTAATGCAAGAAAAAATAATTAGATTGGATTTAATTTTTTGAAGGCGTAAACGTTTTCATGGCTTGGAGACCGATCCTGAACATAAAAACTAAGCTCGGCAACCGGCTGCCGCACAACGTGTAGGGGGTTAGATTTCGATTCCCGCACGGAGCGACTCTTTGTGTGATCCACAAATCGATGTTCCGGGTCTTGGTGTCATGTGTATATGAACTTGTATGCTTGTAATTTACACACACGACACAGAAGAAAATCCTAGTGTGGGGGAAACGTTTTTTAAAAGCTATATTGATAAAGACCAAAGAAACGGAATAATTGCAACACACATCTACTCATTGAGCGAGACAAAACCAGTTTATCATAGTCTTGCTTTGTATAAATATACTACACGTTCGCGGATCAGTTTAAATAGGTTTAACATAGCTTGATTAACAAAAATTAAAAAACAGAGTACCCCGAAATCTTAAAACAAAGAGACTGATTGTCTTGATATTCCACAATACATCTTATAACCTACCTCATCCTGCTAATCCCCACTTAGCTTACGTTAGACGTCCACAGGTGCATACACCCAATGTTCTGCTAATCCCGTATAATTAAGGTGTACAATATTAACGTAGTACGTTCCACCTTCAGTCTATTATTCAATGGATACCGGTCCAAGTGTAGCAAGATTACATTCTGAGATTGCGAATGTATTATGAAGATTTGATGAAGTTTTTGGCTGGAATTGTTTTGGTGTACGTCGGTGTTTCGTGTCAAATTTTTTAGACTTTTTAGAGGTAATATGCTGGTGTTTTACCATGGTATGTTTGTATCAGCGCTTTTCCTATAATAATCTCATCATCATCAAAAGTCTATAAATGCCCACTGCTGAGCAACGCCTCTTCTCACACGGAGAAGGTTTAAGCATTAATCACCACGCTTGCTCATTGCGGGTTGGCAATTTCCAACTTATAATTAGAAATTATAAGCTCAGGATTCCTCATGATGTTTTCCTTCACTGGTTTGTATGGTATCTAGATAATCTTAGAAAGTACATATAACTCGGAAAAAGTCACATTGGTACTTGTCGTTGGTAGAACCGCACCCTCATGCATGAGAAGCGGGCGTCTTAAGCCTCCGGGCCACCATGACTCTTATAATATAAGCCCCACAAAACCGTTGCAATGGTTTGACTGTGGGGTCAACGAGTCTCTAGACATTAAACTTATATGTACTTATAATTAAATATTATACAGGTGTAACTTTCACTTAAATAGAACTTAAGACATTTCCAAATAATATATATTTAATTTACGCTTAAACCTATTTGCATTGATTGTTGACATAGTATGCTTGTAGTTTGAAGTGTTTATTATATTAAGCTAGTCAAGTTACATGCAGGTAAGAAAATGAAGATTCATTTCGTGCAGAGACTAGAATAGGTACTAGAACAGGTAATAGAATATTAGTTTATACAACACTAGCTTTTACCCGCAGCTTCGCTCGCGTCACAAAAGGATAAAAAGTAGCCTATGTGACGTATACACACAGCGCCATCTATACCAATACTTTTGTTTTCCCTCGGGAATATCAATTTTTCCGGAATAAAAAGTACCCTATTATTTAATCCAGACTTCTAACTTTATGTCTGCAAAAATTCAAAGCAATCGGTTTAGTAGTTACGGCGTGAAAGCAGAACAAACAAACACACTTTCCGATTTATAATATTGGTAAGGATTGTATGCTTTTCATTGGTGGGACCAGAGATTACAGTTTTAAAGGTTCAAGTTTGTCAGAGTGCACTGCCCCCGGTCTCTGTCAAACGTGCCATAGGGTCGATTTTTCAATCATCAGTTAATTCTTAACTGTAGAATAAAATTGACATTTGACAGTTTTTAGTATGGAAGAATTGTCAAAAATTGAATCGTGTTCCTGAGTTAAAATTTATCTGAGCATTGAAAGATCGGCCTCTAGTTGGCTTTTATAGCGACGATACCCGCGGTGATCATCATAACCACATATCCCCGAAGGTGATAAGGAAGGAAGAAAGAAAGGAAGGTGAGAAGGTACTTAATGCCACTGTACAATGTAACACCCACTTTTCACTATTTATGATATGAGACCCATGTAACAGGAGTAAGCTTATTATCATATACCGGGCACAATTTCAGACTCCGTGCTACTATTGAGAATTTTAAATCCCAGTAACACTTTGGCCGACCCGGTAATCGTACTTGCGACCACTCAACCAGCGTGGCAATCGGGAACGTTGGTCGCCATGTAAATAAACATAGTTATATTTAATTCACTTCATTAAAACCCTAGCGTTACCATATTTCCATTCACTTCCCTACCTTTGTTGCTAAAACAAATGAAAGAGCAATTCTTTTACAATTTCTTTGTTTTTAAACAAATTGAAATTAATGCTACAGGAATGACAGAGCAGATTTCAAAGACCTTTTATTACTGTGCAGATATGAACATTAATAAAGCTTAATAATTAATACTAATTATGTTTTGAAGCTAATGTGTTTGCGTGACTCGCCATTTTGTGTTCGTTACTGGTATGAAAGACTGTATCAACTACACATTGAGTTATACGCTACCAGCTTATCTTGGTCTACCTTTGTATCATCTTTCTGCACAATTGAAGGTCAGGTTATAATTGATGTTAAGCTAGTAACGATGCGTATTATGATTTTAATATTATGAACTGTTTTCATGTTTTTGTGAGTTGTAAGTGTGACAGCTTGTAGTATCGGGTTCAGTTTCTAGGTTGGGTAAATGTGGTTAAGATTGAGTGACTTTCCGTTTTTCTTTTTTCCTTTTTTGAGGGGGGAAAATCATCCAATGACTTCTTCCACCTGGGTCAGGGCGAGAGGGAGTGTCAGACTCTTACTCTTTTTTTTACAATTATTCTAAAATTTTGACTGTATACCTAGTTATCTATTGACGACATTCAAATCGCATTATAATTTAATTTGCATGCCGAAAGGTAAAATATACCTACATTATTAGCAAATAAATGATTTCTTTCTTTCTTTCTTTCTTTCTTACTGACTATAAACCACCCCGTTCCTACTCCTGCACTTCGATCTGGAGCCCCGGCCGTCCTTTAAGTCTCCGCGGCTCCGTATCGGCATCAGCCCTATTGGGCCCCTTCTGCGGTGGTCTGATGGCTCCATGAGGTGCGCGAGGAACGCGACGCGCCGTACGCTTGGGGAGTGACTTTCCGTTATGAGTGTTATTAAAATTGTGTCCGATATTTGGCAATAGGTCTCTTAATTCTTCTTAATTACATTATCTACTATATAACCCGTGAAAAGGTTTTAGGTAAGTCTGCAGTTTAGTCCTGATTATACACGGAACTCTCATGTGTGTGTTTGCAATGCTACAAAGCTAAGTATTTTTAGTAAAAACAATATAGTTTTGTTACCAACACTAAATTAAATACAACCAATATCAGAATAATATTCTATTTATTTTTTATACAAACAACACTCACCGCTTCATATTCCATTTACAAAATTCAAAAACAGAACGAGAAGAAAACGAACCTTCAATGACGTGGAAA